TTTGCAACCCCCAGATGACAGTAATTTATGCTTGCTTTATGGAAATGTTGTAGTTAGATTCTATTAAATTGGGGGTTGCAAAGTATGTTTTACGTTTTTGAGGAGGCTAATATGAATCTTTGTTTACTTCTCTTTGTGAAAAAGTAGCTTTTTTTCTGTTGTACATCACAAGAAAGAGATTAATCTTTGCATCTCTTGGCAATCAATTTTGGTATCCATGCTAAATATGCAAGCTCTTCTCATTCAGAATTAGACAGACAGACAGACAGACATAGGACTTCCCAAATAAATGTGGAAAGAACAACTAGATTGTCCCCCTTTATAGATAATACAAGCAATGGTACCAGATAAAATGCTTATATTAACAAGGCACGTAAAGCAAGACAACTTTGTCTAAATGTTGTTTCCTTCTACATATAAAAAAATAAGTACTAATAAATTCATGTCAAACTATGTTATATCATTCCTAGGTCCAGGATTTGGCTATAGTTTAATCTTTTTTTAGAGATATTCCAGTTACAAACCTGAATTAAGCAAGGCCCAACTTCAGATCTAAGAAAGCACAATGGTACTATGCTAATTTAGTAATGAAAAATTCCTAGGTTGAGGCCCTAATTAAGACAGCATTAAGGAGGAGAAGATAGTAAACAACATTTGTTTATACCATGTTTCTATGCTGCCCTACCTTAATTGACTCAGGAAGTTTAAATAACAAAAGTAAAACCATCAATCACATCAATATAAACACAGTAATACATTACATAAGCAATCCAAGTCCACCATCTGTACCAAAAGCTTGTTGAAAAAGGATACTCTTAACAGTGTTACAAAAGAAGGCAAGATGGGGACGTTTTATACGTCATGGTAAGGTATTTTATAACATGGGGCTATGCTGAGGTGTGCCTCCAGGCCTCCCTTCCTTTACCTTACAAGGACTAGGACCCTCAGCAACCCTTTCTGGTATGAACACACAGAAAAGGCTGATTCTGACAGAGATGATTCTAAGGGTAACAGGTACCAAGCCATGTAGGGCTTTAAAGATTAAAAACCAGGACCCTGAGGCACAGAAGCCTCCTGAAACCAGTGCTGTATAGATGAGGACTAGTTTTATTATAACCACTATAGTAACAGAATCTTGCAAGTCTTAATGTGCTTCCCCCCTTTCTTTATCTTCATGTGAACTAGGGAGAGGCTTGTCTGAGATGTTTTTTCAAATTAGTTTCTTGACTTAAGTTCAAACCCTGCTTATCTGACCATTGTCTTGATAGCAGCTCTTTGTCCTGCCGTTCAAGGCCATTCCCTATACCCTATACATAATGCAGTGACCTTGGCAAAGGTGTAACACTACTAAACCTTCTTTATGCTGTTAGCAATCAGGCCACTATATTTTGAACCAATTACAACTTTTAAATCATTTTCAAGGGACACTTGTAAAGTACATTGCTTTAGTTGCAAGGGGATAAAAACATGACTCATTTATCCATGAGTGACTCATTCATGGTGATCTAGGCCAGAAGGGCCAGTTGGGGCACTAGGTGAAGCCCTCATGATCACGTTTCCACCTCATACTTGAATAATAGGTATGTGTCCAGGTCACCCAGGTTGCACACCTGTTCCTTCAGAGGAGTGCAACCCTGTCCAGAGCCAACTTTAGAACTGGTATCAAGTTGGAACATTCACCTACAAATACCAACTCTGTCTTGCAAGGATTTAATTTTATGTATTGTCGAAGGCTTTCACGGCCGGAATACGATGGCTGG